GTTGTCACTCAGAAAAATGAATTTGAAAATTATCACTTTCAGAGTTTTTAATTAATATTTCGGCTGATTAAAGTCATACGAAGATGGAAATAGTCGAAATGGCTTCCCACGACTTTGGAATCGGGAATAATGTATTTAATGTTTGGCAATGCTATTTTGATTTCTATGGCAATGCTATTATTGTAAAATATAGAAATTTTTCATTAACAAACTCTAGGATTTGAAAGTGAGCAGTGGCAACAACGTTGGAAATAAAGCAGATTTTCATCTCCAGCTGCGAGACTGTTGCCATTCGGAAAAATGAGGACGAAATGTATCGTTTTTCCGAGTTTTTAATTAATATCTGTGATTTCAGCTACCTATTTTTGGTGGATGTTGATCTTTTCCAAAACCCAGAAAAGAATTGTAGAAAGATTGGTGACGATAGCTATAATAGTGACTGAACATAAAAACACTTTTTTCTTTACATATATGCATAATTCCTTAATCCTGCAGATTAAAAATCTAACTATACAATTGTGATGGAACTGTTAAGGAAGTTATGCACCAGTTCTAACAAATCCTAAATACCGCGTGGATAATAATGACCAAAAAATCTCTCAATGAGTTTTGTAAATCTAATCTTCTCTCTTGGCTTCAAGAATACTTATATTGGACATAAATTTGCCAATGATGTTCTTTTTCATCATACTAAACGGAAAGGTTGTTTGCACACTAATAAAGCCTGTAGAAGATTTTTTGACATTTTCTGATACTTTTCGAGCTCTTAAATACAGTTTTAGTAAAAAAAAAAGAGTAATTTATAACAAACGGAGTCCAATAAATATCAAAAAGGACGTGAGAATCTCTTTTCGTGTTTGCATAAAATATTTAATCAGTTTACTAGAACTTTTTCTCCTAGTTCTTTTTTGCACTCTTTCGGAAAACTTAATTTTATTAATCTTATTTTTCACCATATTTGGCGTCAGAGTTTACATCATACGCATCACTTTACACCAAAACGTCTCGAAAACAGCCTAACGTTTATTTATTTCCTTTATCACTTTCAGTCTCTTATAAAGGCCACTTTTGTTTATTTAAAAATTAAGTAGAAAATAAGCCTTTGATTGACTTAGATGTTGAATTAATCTAAATTTGCTTTCGTGTCTGATTTTAAATTTTACTCTGGCGTGTTTGTCTTCCAATTACTTTGTTTTAGTCGTAAAGAATTTCTGTTATTTCATACAGTTGGGAAAAGTGTGCTTTATAATACTAGATTTCTGGAATAAATAACATAGATGATGGCCATAAATATATTTAATTTTTACACTTGTTATCAGATATTAATGACAATAGCTTTTTCCTTTTCTATACCTTATACCACTTCATCCACTGTATTTAGACTACTGCAAAAGTTACTGAAGGTAATTGCTGGTCTCTGATAAACAATTCAGTTTGCGGTTGAAATTCAGCACTCTCTCAAACACCTTTTGCGGTTTGCAATCCTAAGATATGACATCGTATGTACACATCTCCATATTTAAAGAATCAGATATGCTTTTATTGAAGATGAAATGTTACGTGATCACAACTCTTCGTGAAATTATCCCTATATCCCTAACATGACGATTTTAGTCAATGTGATGGGCTGTTACGTTATTGATACTAATTGCATCCTCTAAAACCTGTAAACTTTATCACTATTAAATTGCGTATCTCTGCATCCTAAATACCTGCAGACGGATTTGCTTCACCAATGGTCTTGTCGCATGCATTATTACAAAAACTAATATTTTCCTATGTCATGTGTCTTCAGTGTTCGTAACGCCATATACTCCAACAAACGCTTCTTCACAGTAACAAGCAAATTTCTCTTTACATATATTTTATTCAAAGGAAAAAGTAAATTACATACTATTTACAAGACTGGTATTAAACATTTTAAGGCAGTCATCTTTCATAATAACATTTAGCTGCTTTTCTAAACCAGAGGGTTTCTCCCCCTTGACGCTACTCCGAGCGCGTTCGAATCCGGTCTCGTTCTCAAATCTTAGAAAAAGAAAAGGGAAACGCCCACCATTTAGTCGCAAGAATGGCATAGGTCTCATTTAGCAGACTTCTTCCGCCATGATCATTTATTTTTTTCTACTGAATTAAAATCCAACATTTGAGATTTTTATAAATCATCAGCTTTATCGAAAACACATTCCGTTTTCTTCAGTTTCCTTGTATACGAGTTTTGTTCCTAACATGTCTTCTTCAACGGAAACTTCATTCATGGAGCGAGACTGTTATTTGGTGACTTAACGTTTTGACTAAACTGCATATTTTGTTGCTAAGTGTCTCAATGAAGGTCTTATCTGGATGGAATGAGCTTTTATTTATTTGGATGGAATGAGTATTTTTTTAAAATTTAAATGTGGATCGTCAACTAAATTAATATGGTTCTTCTGGAATTTTATTTTGATATTTATCAACAACCATGTATTTAGAACATTTGTTACAATAAGAAATCATATAATTAAAGGGGAAAACCATATTCAGTTGATGAAATGAATACGCATTTCGTGACTTATGATTAGTAAACTAAGAGTACTGCATGCTTTCTGTAGGAAAGTTTATCGAATAATAAATGACGTTTCTACATTTGTTGCACAATGTTTTACGACTAATATAATAAGAGTGCTTAATTGAAAACATGCAATCTATGACAAAAATATAAAATAATAAAAGAAATTAAACATTTTAAGGTTTTAAATTTAAAAAAATCGATGTGTTGCTTGAAATAAGCAGGAAATATTTGACTTAAAATTTACTTTTCATAAGACAGTTCTGTATTATTTTATCACATATAAAAGAAACATAAGTGAAAAACATGTTAGTCAGAATTAGTGAATTACAGATTAAGTACAACTTCTTTTCTCTGTCTGCAGTCGAATACCACAAATATAATTAATTTTGCACACTAGTAAGTATTAATAAGAATTTATTTTTAAAAAACTGTCTCTGAAAGTTTTTAGTTGTGATAACTAATGCTTATATAATAGACAAATCTAGTTCTTAAATATTCTGATAAAGAAGTCATTAAATGCATGCATTCAATATCAATTATTTGCCTCAGTGTAACTTAGGAATGAATTTAGGATACTGTGGTAGAATACCATGCCACTGAGCAATTGTTAGCGGATATTGATTCACTTTTCACGCGGTTGCTAACGATCGAATCACTCTGAAATCATTAGCATACTCCGATCCGACATCCTATTCGTTTGTTAAAACTGGAAAATATGTTATGTACTAGTAATATTTTAAAATTTAACGTAGTTAGGAGTCTAATCAAGGCTTGAAATCACAGATTAATATGTGCAAAAAATTATGGACTCTTCTAATTTTTTTTTAAATTCTGAGATCAAGTGTACACATCCATGTAGAATGTAATAAAATAAAAAATCTTTGGTTTCTAATGTCTAGATAACATTCGAAAATGTACATGACCAATAAACGTGGATAAACCATTAATTAAAATGTGTTATTTATTAGTTATTTAATGCAGTGAATAAGTAATTCCTTTCTTTATTGGATGCCCTTTTCGGTATTAGACGACTTCGTAATGAAATACTTTTTAAGGAGCTTTTGCAAATGGCGATAAATTCAAGAAGTAGGTAGAAATTTGTTTTAATTGTGATTGAAATCTTTGAAAATCGAATTTTAGGAATGAATGCATTTGCACTATCAGTTACAAATTAAATTCAAGATTTCCTGCAATAAGCAAGAGCCATACTTGTTCAGGTGACATCGAACGTATCCACACCCGCGGCTTCTGGCCCTTCCTTGATCGCATAATATTTTCATGCTGAAAAATTCTATCCTCTCTTCTGTTGACTGGTTCACAGAAATCACGTGAAATTAGAATCCTCGTAACAGCTACTGGAACGGATATTCAGAAGTGCATCAAAATATTATTTTAGTTTCTTAAAACAAACACTTTTTTCGTTTTACCTGCTTTTGTTTATTTGTTTTCAGTTCTAACTTGATAATTCTTATGCAAGATTCCTACGAAAGGAACATCTGAGTTAACTTAGATAAATAAACGTCAACTACTAAGTGCCAACAGCGGCTAACTGAGACATTAGTGTCAAGGGAAAAAACCCTTCTCACTTGGACACGGAATTGGCTAATTGCTCTGAATGGCTTCAGTAAAGGAACATAGCTTAACGGGAAAGATTTTACTGCAGCAATTTCCTTCACTAAAGTAATTTTAGTGCTGTTGCAAAGCATTTTGTGGGACTTACTTTGTCCTACTGCAGAAAAACTGTCTTTTTAGAGTTATTATTGTCCTGCATTTTCTTTTCAGGTTTTATTGACAGCAGAAAAAACATTAAGTATGTTGCAAGGTATGCTATATGCCTTTCTGCTAGGGTTCATTCGAAACTCATAGAAATTAATGACCTAAAGCTTCGATGTGCTAACTGCGGTGTAAATATTCCAACCGAAGAGAAGTAAATAGACAGAATTAAACTAGCTCATCCAATACAACGACCATAGCAAGAATGTTATAATTCACAAAAAATGATATAAATAAACAACCTTGAAAGGTGTCATCACTTCAGATTTTTTTTAACTGAGGGGAGTCATCTAGCGATGAGGTCGAGTCATCTAGCTATTTCAGTGCAGATCGTATTATGAAACTAATACATTTCCGAAATTTCAAAACAAAATCCTTCCTCAAATGTAATTTTTATAACGTATTTTCTTCCTCCTTTCTGCATGCCTGAGTTGTGTAACAGTAGCACATTCGGCGCGTATTCGAAAGGTCTAGTTTCTAGTCCTGGCGAGGGCATTGCACATATTTCACGTCTCTTCTGCTTCAGAAAATAACCTAATGTATCTATAGTAGCGCGCGAACTAATATTGGTGGGTGATGATTGTTCACGACCAGGATTTGGCGGCTGGATCATCTAATCCCCAGTCGCCTTTTAAAAGGGGGAGTATATAACGTATTTTCTCTCTCGTTTCTGCATGCCTTCGTGGTGTAACGGTAGCACACTCAACACATATTCGAGAGGTCTAGGTTCGAGTCCTGGCGAGGGCATTGCACATATTTCCCGTCTATCCTGCTTAAGAAAAATAACCTAATGTTTTTACAGTAGCATTTGAACTAATATTGGTGGATGATGATTGTTCACGACCAGGATTTGGCAGCTGGATCTCCTAATTGCCAGGCGCGCTTTAAAAGAGGGAGAATATAACGGATTTTCTCTCTCGTTTTTGCATGCCTTCATGGTGTAACGGTAGCACACTTGACGTGTATTCCAGAAATTCAGAGTCCTGGCGATGGCATTGCACACTTTTCATGTTTCCTTCTTCAGAAAAACTTAATAACTCTACAAGGTCATTTCGCTTCAATAAAGATGGCAGGTAATTCCAATAAATATAACTAAATTTATATTATGTAAACGGTTCAATAAAAAATTCAGTTTAAAATATCTAAAAGAATTCGTAAAATACGAAAGAAAGGTAGTTAAGTTTAAAACATACGACTACAAAATTAAATAAAATCCCCAAATGCAAATAAATTACGAAGAACAATTTACTGCTTGGTTGCTCATTTAAATGGTAAAGTTCTAGAGCTACATTTGAGATATTGACGCTATTTTAATCTAAAAGCCCTAGCAGAGGTGAAGCAGATTATCACTATCCCTGAGAACAAAGATAAAACTTTCAGAAGGTTAAACTGACATTTTTATTTAAACATAAATTAGAACTTAAGAGCACTCACCTGTGTTATATTTTACCCAACTCGTAGTGATGCAATATAAAGTAGAAGAGTTTAAATTAAATGAAACGTTGAATAGTGTCGAGGACTACAAGTATATATACTACTAGAAGCTCTAAACTCACATACTTCTACCGGCGCTTCAGAATTTCAGTGTTCTAAGCGACAGACCGCAAAGCCGGATAATTACAACTATCAGACCTGCGAGGAAACTACTAACAATGTCGCTCACAAGCGATGTCAGAAAAAATTCTTTCTCAAATCCAGAGAACCTCAGTGTCATGTATATGCTCAATTTACGGTATATACTTGACATTGAGGTTCGAAACGGTGCCCTGCCGGCAAGCCCGGCCACCGCGATCCGAAAAGAAAGGGGAATCTGGCAACGTGACATCATGCGAAAAAAGTAGAGATGTTTAAGGTGACTCTAAAAATTGATATATTAGGTAAAAAATATTTTAATATATTTTTTGTTACTTTGCAATGAGTGTGTAGTTCATTTTTTTGCGTCGAGAATATGTGTCAAAAGTGGGTGTGTGAAGAACTCACAAGGTTCATATGTGTGGAGAGAATGAGAACATCACACTTAGTTTAAATACTCGCTTTTCGTTTGCATTCTGGTAAATAAAATTATAAATAACTGGCTAGTTAACATAAGATTCCCTTCTAAGTGATTCAAACAAAAATTAAAGAAACTGAAATAAATTATGAAACATGTAGGCTTTCCCGATTTCATAATGTACGTTCACTGGTCTAAAAAAATATGCAAGCCAGATCTCATTACAACTCTTTTTGCTATCTGCATTTAATTTTCTCAGACGTTGTTTCAGAAATAAAGGTAACTGGAGTAGTAAAAAACTTGTGAATTTGAAAGCCACCCCTACTTTAGAAAAGACAATAAATAATGCAGATCTTCATGAGAATCTCAAGCAAATGTAAAAATTAATAGCATCATTTACATGTGTCGCAATACGAAAATGTACATTGGATGCAATTCTCTTCGTAACAACTTATGGGATCTAACAAAATAGACTCAACAACTTAGATGTTTGTTATTTGTTTCCCTTTTCTTCCCCCAGCCTTTTGACTGGATTTTGAGTAAATGCTACTGTCAGAGGCGATTTAATACGTCTGCGTTTTTTGACAAGTAGAGAAAATCCTATCACAAGAGATGTCAAAATAAAATAAACTCATTAGCTTTAAACTGAAAATCGAAAACATCTTCCGTTGCCGTTATACGAGTGTTATATTATGTTCACGATTTCTCATTTGTGTTCAATTACGCTTTATTTGCGGAAAAAAGCATTTTTCTAAGAAGAAAATTTTCTATAATCTTACATATTAATTGATTATTCCTTCGAAATCAATATTCCTAAAAAAAGAAATAATTCTTGTGCTGACTGCTGCATTCCCGGCAAAGAAACCAATTAGAAGAAAAAAAAATATGGAAATAATTGCTGTTTTTATTGTGAATTACGATTGCAAAATGTATTAAGAGTTCAATAAGTCTTTTTCTCTTTACTGACAGTTTTTCTGGTTGGTAATAAAATTACATTTTTATAATTCCAAACCTTTTGACTGGATTTTGAGTAAATGAAATGTTAAATTAAAAGTGCTATTTCGCTTACGTATTTTAAACATTTAAAGTATCGGAAAAACTTCTCTACTTTTAAATTATTTTGAGATTGTTTCACCATGATAAACTTAATATTTTCTTTGGTGAATAAAATATTATTTAGTAACTGGGTACTATTTAATAATTAGTAATTCAAATTTTTTTTGGGAATAAAGTTCGTTAAAAAAATCTCACTGAATTTCTAGAAACAAAGATATGATCTTCTTCTCACACGGTTATCTTATATTAGGAAAAGGTAGGGTAAAAATTCGTGTTCGCTATAAACAGGGAATCACTTTAAATTGTTGCCGCCAAATATCATCGCCCCGTATTGTATTCAAAGAAATTAAATCATGAAGAATCTGTATGAATGTGTGTATGTTTCTCGCATTACGAAGAAACGACGGTACCTAGAGCCATCAAATTTTGAATAACTTAATCTGCCACCCGAACACAGTCACCTGGACGAATTTTGAATTTCGAATTTGTGTTACTATCTATTCCATATTTTGTAAACCTTTAACTAATATTTGATTAACAAACTCAACGATTTCACAGCCAGCAATGGCAACATTGTACGGGAAAAAGCATTTTTATCTCCAGGTCGCGAGACTGTCCATCGAAAATTCTAAAGATAGACTGTTTTCAGATATTTCAGCCCAAATGCTCTCGAAACGTGCGTGTGTTTGTAAATAAAAGAAAGCTCACTGGGGCGTAATATAAAGCCTGAAAGCGTTCAGGTACTCTTGTTTTTTTGCATTAAATTGGTCCCCATTTATAGACATTATTTTTAGACCGTTTAGGCATTATTATTAATATAGACATTACTGTACCCCGTTTTAGACATTATGATTAATACTTAATAATGTTGTTTTTCAAAAAATTGTGTAAAATTAAATTTTTAATTTAATTCTTTAATTGATTTATTTTGTTAAATTGAATTGATTTATTTGCTGCTCATTGCTGCGTAAAATTTCAGATAATTGTAAAATAAAAGATTAAAATAAACAATCCACATTCGTTTGAGCTTTATTTTCATACTAGCGGAAATACCCGATGACGGTTAAGTTAGATTGAGACTAATGCATCTAACAAGAGAGAGAACGATACCACTGTAATCCTTCTCAAATAACGATGCAAAAAATATGATTCATAGTCATACATTTTTCAGTCTGATGCAATATGGAACCCACATAAAAATTTTGATAGAAAAATTAACTAATTGTATCAACAACAACGGCACGCAGTTTTTAATGATTTTTGTCTTTCTAATCAAATGGTCGTAAAAGCTGAAGTTCCATCGAATATTTCACGTATATTCAACTTTAGTCGATTAAATGTGGCAAGAAATTGAACATAACTGATCAGAAATCAATAACGCGAACAAAAAACAAACAGACATTCTTCTTTATATTCATAGATTTTGTAAAACTTACAAATTTTTGATTAACAAACTGTACGATTTGAAAGCGAGCAGTAAGCAACACTTTCGAAATAAAGCATTTTTATCTCCAACGCGCGAAATTGTTAGTGTATTCAGAGTTTTTAATTAATATTTCGGCTGTATTAAAACCGTACGAAGATGGGAATATTCAAACTGGCTTCCCACGAATTTTTGGATTCGGAAATTATGTACCTAATGTTTGACAATGCTGTTTTTATTTCATTTTAAAATTTAGAAATTTTTATTAACAAACTCTACGGTTTGAAAGCGATCAGTGGCAACACTTCTCGAAATAAAGCAGATTTTTTTCGAGACGCTTGCCACTTTGAAAAATGAGGGTGAAAATTAATGTTTTCAGAGTTTTTAATTAATATCTCTGATTTTAGCTGCTTTTATTTTTTTGGAAAAAAAAAGACGACGACCTTTTCTAGGAGCCAGAAAAGAACTGTAAAACATTTGGAGAAGATAGGTATAGTAGTGATTGAGTTTAACCGCGAACTAACAAACCCACAGTCATTCTTCTTTATATATATATATATATTCATTCTTCTTTATATATATATATATATGATGTAACAGCTTTTGCCCGGAATAAATAGATTGGTGAAGAATCATAGACGTAGTTGAAGTAGCAGAAGATATGTTTAAAAAAACAGGATCCATTTATTATTATTCAGGAGAAATAGCAGTTACAAAAATCAGAAGTAAATAAAAAAGAACTAGTATTATGTTTAAAAAACAGGATCCATTTATTATTATTCAGAGAAAATAGCAGTTACAAAAATCAGATCTCCGGAGTAAATAAAAAAGAATTACTAATAACTTTTTGTATGAAGTTTACTGCATCGTGACATTAAAGAAAAGACCCCGATATTCCTTTGCGAGTCCTTTTATAGCCTCTGGAAAGGCGGAGCTTCCAAGAAATGACGTCAGCCTCGTCAGCCATTCCAGTTCGCTTTAAATATTTCCAGAACATTCTATAACTGTACGTGTAGAAAAGGCGGGAAAAAACAACTTGACTACGGGGCTGTGGATTTAATTCCACGTACTTTCAAATAAGAGACCGTCGCCATTAAAATGAAAAGAACATACAGTTAGAATTTTAAGTGTATTTTTGACTATGGAATTTTATTATTACAAAATATTCCCCCCATCTGAAAAGGCTTGAAGCGGGGCGCCTCGACCACAAGACATTCCAGATAGTGAAAAAGCGCGAGAACAGCTAGAAAATTATTTTAAATAATTGCTTAATTTGTT